CGGCGGCTTCAGGCGGGGCGAGCGTCCTCCAGCCGGGCCGCCGCGCCGAGCTCCCGCGGGCGACGGCTCTCCGGCCGGCCGGGTCCCCGGGCTCGCAGCTCCGTGGGACGCCGAGGCTGTCAGCGGGGCCCGGAGCCGCGGCGGGATCGCCGAGGGAGGCCCGCCGCCGGGGCCGGGACAAAGCGCCGGATAGGGCGGGAGAGCGAGCCAGCCCGGTCGGAGACTCCGGGCGCGAAGCGCGCTGTTCGGGGCGTGCGCCACGATGGGACGCGGGGGAGCCGGGCGCACGGCGGGTCTGCTTTCCGCGGTGCAGGCCCGGGGCCCCGCGCGAAGTCCCCTGCGCACTGGGCTGGGTCAGCACTTCCTCTCGGCCGCGCAGCTGGACTCGTGGGTCTGCGCCGGGGACTTTGCCTCCAGGCCTGCTCACAAAGCCTCTTAAAGTTGAATTTAATGTAACTGAACTCCCTAGGCGTAAGCGCCCAGACTTCCCCATAGCCCTTTCCCCTTCCTCATTCTTCCTACACCCCTTCTCTCAGCGTTAGTTTCTTGTTGGAGAATGACTTCTCCGTCTCCCTGAGCAGTGTTTTCTGCATTTATTTGTGGTAGAAGCAAGAACAGTTCAGCCATGTACTGGAAAGTAACGTATTTGTTCAGGTATGTTGGGTAAACTTCATTTTTATGCCCTGACAGTTGCAAACACTGCAGTTTGATTTTAGTAAGATTTAGACATGTTTAAAAGAGCTGTCCTCCAGTTGATGAGGAGTGTATCTCAAATTCTTAACGCCGTCTCAAGCACCGGCTTGCTTAATAGCAGAATCAGTTCGTTTGTTATTTGTCTTGAATGTTCATTGTTTTTTTCACAAACATCTGTACAAGATGTTGTTTTCAAGGAGCAGCTTTATTGAAGATCACTTTCCATGTATACAATGCACTTATTTACAGTGTATAACTGGAGAGTTTCTCATGAGTTCGTAGGTCCTGCAGATACCACCGCCATCAATTTTAGAACAGTTGTATCACTGCTGAAAGAATCTTATACCCATTAGCAGTCACTCCCAGTGTTCCCCCAGCCCCAGTCCTCGGCATTTAATCCACCTTCTGCTTCCATGGATTTCTCTCTTCTGGATCCATTATGGGTCCATTATGACTGGCTTCTTTCACTTACAAATGTTTTCAAGCAAGGGTCATCCATGAGCTTATATGTGTAGTATTTAATGCCTCTTTGTGGCCAAATAAAATTCTATTCTACGTTTTACTTATTCATTCACTAGTGATGTATATTTCATTTCTAATTTTTGGTTATTATGAGTAATGCCATGAACATTTTTGTACAAGTCTATGTGAACATATGTTTTCATTTCTTTTGGGAATGGAATTTACTGGGTCATGTGGTAACTCTGTATTTATATTTGATCTCAGCCAAAAGGCCAAGAAACTGATGGTAACTCTATTTAACATTTCAGTCAACTGTCTGTTTGCCAGAGTCATTGCGCATTTTTGAAATGCTCAGCAGTGTCTCGGGGTTCCAGCTTTCCATATGCTCACCAACACTTACTATCTTTTGAATTAATATAGTTTGATGGTTGGATATGAAGTATCATCTCTTGCTTTTGATTGGCATTTGCTTTTTAAAATTATGCATATGTGTGTGTATGCATGTGATGTGTGTGCAGGTGTTGGCAGAGGCCAGAGGCATCAGATCCCCCTGGAACTGAATGAAGTTCAGGAGGTTGTCAGCTACCAGATGTGGGTGCTGGAAATTGAACTCTCGTCCTCTGCAAGAGCAGTAAGCTCTGAGCCATCTCTTGAGCCCTGATTTGCATTTTTCTATGGCTAATGATGTTGAGCATCTTTTCCTATTCATTGCTCACTTTTAAAATTTTTAAGAGAATTGTGTTTTTCTTTTCACAATTGCCCATTTTAAAATTGAGTTGTGTTTTTGTTGTTCCTGAGTTCTTTTTGTATTCTGGGTACACTTTTTTTAGACAGCGTCTTGTGTAGTCCAGACTGGCCTTGAATTTGTTATGTTGCTGAGGCTGGACTTTAACTCCTGTCTCCACCACCCAAGTGCTGGGAAGCAGGTGTGTGCCATCCCTATCATCTCTGGATGCATATTTCTTACAAGATACTTGAGTTGGAAATCTTTTTTCCATTCTGTGAACGGTCTTTCTTACTTTTCTAATAATATCCTTTGAAGTATAGTTTTTAATTTTGATGAGGTCTTGGTGAGGTCCAACTCACCTTCTTTCCTGGCACTTGTGCTTTTGTGATTCTAAGATGATTTTGTCTAACCTAATTTACTCCTGTGTTTTCTTCTAAGGGTTTTAAAGCTTTAGTTCATCTATTTATGACTGCAAGCCACTTAAAATTAATTTTTGTGTGTGGTGCAAAGAAAGAATACAGCATGATTTTTCCCATGTATATGTCCATTTATCCTGGTATCTTTTTTTTTTTTTTGGTCTTTTTGAGACAGGGTCTCCCTGTAGCCCCAGCTGTCCTGGAACTCACTGTGTAGACCAGGCTGGCCTTGAACTCACAGAGATCCCCCTGCCTCTGCCTCCCAAGTGCTGGGATTAAAGGCGTGCACTACCACGCCTGGCTTGTTTTTCTTGTTTTTTTTTTTTTTTTTTTTTTTTTTTTTTTTTTAAAGACTCTTGTTTATTGAATTTTGGTGGCACCTTTATCGAACTTGACTATGGATATATGAGTTATATTTGGATTTTCAGTTTTATTCCATTGTCTTTTTCAATAAATTAGGCAGCAGGAAATGTGAATCATACAGGTTTCATTTTTTAAAGATTATTTTGGCTATTCTGGGTCTATTCCATTTCCATATGAATTTTAGGATTACCCTGTAAATTTTAGACATTAGATTTTTACAGTGGAAACTTAAAATACTTTATAAAAATTGCTTAAGAATTGATGTTCTTGGGTCAGATGAGATGGCTCCACTGGTTAAGGCACTTGCTACCAAGCCTGACCAGCCAGAGTTAGATTCCTAGAACCCACATGATAGAAGACGAGAACTGACTCCTGCAGTTGTCCTCCAACTCCACTGAGGCTAGACATGTGTGTCCACATCTCCCACAGCAAATAAATTACTTATAAAAGAAAAGCTCTTATGTTTTGCTTATTTTTGATGCTGTTTTTGTAAGTTTACTGGCAATTCCAAATTGTATCAGTATTTCAAAGTTATGTTTGTTTTCCATTATTTGAACTTTGAATATAGCCTTGTTTTTGGCTGTTTTGGTTAATGCTTTTCTGAATATTTTTTACATATTTTTATGCCCCTTTGACTCTATTAATAGAACAGGAATAAATTGGAATGTCTGAAATCGAATTTATCTTTAAGTCTTTGCCTTTTCTGATATTGGGAACAAATAGTAAAATAGATGGAGTTTTATTTTCTAGCCTGTAATTGGGATTCAAAGTTCTAAATTAGAGCATAAAAGTCTCCCATAGGATGCAGAAATGAGATAGGAGAAGCTAGAACCAAGTTATCAGCTCATATGAATTTGATAGTTGTCTTAAACTTCCTAAAATTTACATGCTTCAGGGTCGTTCATGAAGTAATTCCTTAAAGTAGGTTAATATTTATCCCACCATTGTTTAAAGTGGTAAGGAAATAAAACTTGTCCAAGTTCAAAACATATGTGGTAAATACATGCAGTTTTAATCAGTTAAAAAAAAATTGGTCAAAGTGAGGTAATGGGGAACTTTGAAGTTTGTTTCTAACCAAACAATCCATTCATTAATTGTATTCTTTCTACCTCTGTAAAGACAAACCTTTCTGTTGTGGTGCTTTGTTAAAGGAAAGCTTGAATCATTGAAACGTGTTTCAAACTCTTTTGAAAGCAGCATATCCTTCCTTTATAGTTTTTCTTAACTAAAACCGTTTGCTAAGTTAAAAATTATTTAATACCATAAAGAAAAACCATATTCAGGACTTCCTACATAACAGATGTTTTCTTGCTGATAAGTTGATTGCTATAAAGTATTGATAGTCAAACTGAAAATGCCTTTTCCTATTAAAATTAGGCAGCAAAAATAATCCACAGATATGTAAAAACAAATGTTACCCCTTCAAATGTTTGTCACTTTAAAATGGTATTGGCCAGTATTAGTATTGCCTCTTTCTAAGCACAATAGACTTGGGTTTAATACTTTACACATTCTATTTTACTTAACAGTAATCTCAGTCTATATAAGTTATGAAACATTTACTCAAAGATGCCAGATATTTAGTGTATGGCACATAATGAACTGATGCTATTAGCTAGCAAACTTTCTCCACAGGCTATCTGAATCAGTGCATCAAAAATTAACAAATAAATTACTTTGGGTATTTTGATCCTGAAGTGTTTCCTTTTTATCTACTATTTAACTTGTCTTATTTCATTTACTACTTAATTGGTATTGTCATACTTGAGTTTTAAATTAAATTGGAGCACTTGGGTACATATCCAAATTTGATCTATCATTACATAGGTAAAGCTGGGAGGATTAAAATGCTTTTAAAAATCCTGGAATGTGCTATTAATAGAACTTTGGAATGTAAAACATTATTATTTTTGCTTTATTGTCTAATTTAAATTTAATATCTTGAATGAGAGATTAATGCACATATTCAGAGTTTTTAAAAAATCAATGTGAAAATTAAAAAATGTGTTTCTTCGCAAAATTAGTTTAGATAACTATAGAAACCCAAAATGTTGACTTTTTATTACATCAAAATTCTAAA